ACTCGCACGTGCGTCAGTCCGCCGTCACCGCATGCGCGCCGGGCGCAGGCGCCGCCGTCCGGGGGAGAGGAGCAGGGCGCGCGCGCGCCGAGATGAAGGCCGCCATTGCGCCGTCGTTCGTCGTCGCTCGTCGCCGCCGTCGCCCGGCGCCGACGAGTGCAGCAGACGGCCGTGACGCATGGCAGGGCACCTCGGCGTAGCGGCAGATGATCAGCCATTCTTGGGAATAGCATGGTCAAGGGCATACTCGTAGATCTGGACTTAGCTCCAGGAGTCTTGGAAGTTGTGCCTAATAGTCTCATAACCCGTCTCGAATACTAGAATGTCTTCTTCAGAAGGGAGTGCAACAGGCATTTGAATACAGTTCAGGGTAACCGGTGTTAGTGAGAGTGTATTGCTGCACATTGCCATAGTGACCAGACTGTGTGTGGTCATCATCATACAGCAGTCTGCAATCTGTCTTAATCGCCAGGCATGGCAGATGTGAGTCGCAACCTAGGTTGGCAGTTCTGCAATTGCAATGAGAAGTGCTCAAATGGCAATGCTAACCGATTGACAAGTTTCCGACATTCTGAAGTCATCAATCACTAACCTCAGGATACCATCTTGAAGAGTTGCTGTCCATGACCATACCAGCATGTCATCACCCCAGTGTGCCGCAGCCAGAATTCCGTCCTGGAGGGAATATGTGCCACTGGTCCGATAAAAGCCACACCCGGTCCCAGTATCTACATTTCCGTCCAGGACGGACTACTCTGTGTACCACAGAGTACTCCGTCCAGGACGGAATCTGCGTCTACTTCCATTGGTACCAAGTATCTTCGTCAGTCACCTCTCGAAGATCGTCATCAAAAGAATCGTATCCTAACCACCTCTCACTTCCATCGACCTTATCAATGTCAGGAGATGTATTGTTAGTGTAAGTGCATGTAGCGCACATATTGTGACAGAGTGTGATCACCCTTGCCAGTTACTCCGTCCTGGAAGGAACCCGCATAGGTGGCCACCCAGAGTCGATCAACAGGCTGGCCGTGGCGCACGAATTCCGTCCAGGACGGAATTCGTGCGCCAAGTTGTGGCCAGACATCTCACACCGTTGCTGCACACAGACATTCCATCCAGGACGGAATGTCTGCACAACGGCCACCTGTGGGTGACACCTGCCGCTAGTGCTGATAGTTGTGTCCAGCGGCGTGCGCATTTCCGTCCAGGACGGAAATGCGCACGCCCGCCACTGCGACACTTCACATGGGACTGCTGGAGCATCAATTCCGTCTACGACGGAATTGCTGCAGCTGGGTCATAGAATACGTGCTGCTGACAGTTGTGTCACATATATGATGTGAATTTTTCCATCCTGGAGGGAATGTGTGAGGGCATGCCTTGGCATACCAGCAGTCACACTGCACCACAATTTCCATCATCCTGCTATTCTTTCCTATAAGCAGGAGTCACAGTCTTCATAACAATCTAACCCAGCAGAATACATATCTGTCTCTATGGCTCCTCATAGCCAATTTCATTTGAGATAAAATATGGCATAGCGGCTATTGGCCAATACTCATTTATGCATTGAGTTGCTTGGAAGTTCTTTACTACAAAGATGAAAAGATATGAAACTCTAGAATAACAATTATATAGGTATAGTACTAATTGTATTATCAGATTGAAGATATATCACTTCTTTCTGACAGTCACTTCTGAGATCTAACAATGTGTCTATATTTAAAGGACTCTTGAAGTCCCTGATACATCTTACAGATGTTAGACACTAATGTATGCTACTTATCTAATAAGAAGATTTACAATCTACAAAAACTTGTAGTTCACTTGCTTTCAATTTTTCTAATATTTGACACTAGGCCAATATCTCATTCTTCACTCCAGTTGCTTTCAACTTTTTTAATGTCTGACACAACGTCAATGGTCTATCCTTCACTCTGATTTTCTTATGATAAGCAACATAATACTATATCATCTGTATATTGTTGAATTATAGATTTCTAAAAACTCATCTTAGTTTTAATGTACTCAATGCTAACTTGTGTATTTTCTTAACTTGCAATATATAGGTCATCAATGTCTTGAAGAAGAAAGCCTTGAATAATACTTAGAGTTATTTTGAGTATATATTGAAAGCTATTCAAATTCGATGAGAGAGCCTAGCACCTATCCATTGTCTCTTAGAATATATTCTTGATATCAGCTACACTAGATGTATCTATTGGTGAGTCCGAAATTGAAGTCATTCTACTTCTAGTTGATAGTCTATATATAGAAGATTACTTCTAATATTTGACACTATATCAAGTTTCTATACTTTACTTATTTTAAGTTATTCTAGTGATACAATAGTTAGTGATAACTTTACATCTTATCAGACTTTATATCTCAAATATAGGTATCCAGTAGATCTTGCTTGTAATATGATATCATAATACTTTCTTTCTTATAGGCCTAGTTCATTAATAATTCACTATATTCAGATACAGATTAGTTCATATCTATAGTATAGAATTTGAAATCTACTTGCATATTATATATGCAGGTGCTAGTGTCTATCACTGTAAATATAGCAAACTAAGCTAAAGCTTGACAGAAGCAACTATCGCTGACTGTGCTTATATATATGATTAGATTCTGTACTATGTAGAGAAGAGGCACTTCAGAAAAAGTGAGAGAAACTTAACTGTATATCTAATATGTCTACTTATCATGATAATATAATAACTGATAATATATGTCAGTTCAATAACAACTAAGAGAAGTTGTGATAACTGCTCCAATCATTGAAAAGAAGCTGCTTTACAGATTAGCAGTTTAGATATTGCTAAAATAGACTAGTTGATATGTACTTCTTCATAGTGAAGATAACCTATCTCAGATATTAGAGCTTTTCAATATCAAAATACAGTATCACTTCTTTAGTGAGTCAAGGTGTAAACTTCTCTAAGTGATTATATAAAATGCCTGCATTCTATAGCAGATTGCTTGAAACGTATCTTAGTTTTAGTATGCTCCATGCTAATATGTATATACTCTTTCCTTATGCTATAGAGAATATGAGTATCTTGAATAGTATTGAGAGTGACTTTGAGTATGTATTGAAAGCTATTGAAAGTTGAGAGAAGAGCTTAGTACTTATGCATTGCCTCTTTGAGTATAGAGTTAGTATTATTTTCTAAGAAGCTAGAGAATAAGGCATTATTAGATACAATAGCTATTATATGTATATGTGGCTATTGAGAATAGAGTGTATTGACAGAACTAAGAAATAATTTCAAACTAACTTGAAATTTATTTATTGTATTGCTAGGGAGGTTAATGATAAGTTGTATATGTTAGATTATAGAAGAGAGTAGAAAGAGTCTAAGTTGAAATCTAGCCCTCTTACGGGGGGACTTATACCTATAAGTCCGCAGAAGCTTCTGCAGCAGCAGGTCACGTAACTAGAGAAGCTGCAGAAGCCAGTCATGTGACTGCAGCAGCAGGTCATGTGACTGTAGAAGCTGCAGAAGCCAGTCACATGTCACTGGAGCAGCAGGTCACGTGACTGGAGAAGCTGCAGAAGCCAGTCATGTGACCATAGAAGCTGACAAAGCGGCCATATTATGTCAGCATTTCCTTTTTGGGACATATATGAAAGTCGTAGTCTCGCGCTGTGGCTATCCATATATCATCTCAGAGTTATCGCGCGATAAGTGGTTAAGGCTATAAATGCAAAATACAAAAAAAAATGCGGCACAGTGAAAAAAATTATGACCGATAGAAAATATGGACATTGCACCAATATGCAATTTTTATATACCGTCGGAATGCTGCAGATAAGGAGAGCACAGATCTGCCTTCAGAATCTTTTTCCCATGCCTTATTCAATTGCCATTTTCGTCCAGGCGAATCATCGAGCAGGTCTGCAGGTCTCACACAAGTGTCCAAGCTGGGATGCCTCCACTTCATGAAAGTTTGATGAGTCATACAAGTCTAGGCCTCTATCTATGACATCATCTATGATGTCACTTTGAAGGATCATAGGTCTAGATGCAAGCTCTAGTGGCCTGGACTGCTGGCCAGGTCATCTATGATGTCACTTTGATAGGCTTTTGTTCTAGAGCTTTGGCCTAGATTATGTCTATGATGTCATCTGTTCCAGCCTTGGCCTGGACTCTTTGGCCTTGCACTGCCACACCTCAGCCTATATAAGAGGCCCCAGTTTCCCACCAAGTCCTTCTTCACTCTTTCTCCCCCCCCTCCCCACTATCTGTCTGTTACTCTGTCTCTGTCTTTGCACTTTTGACTCCTGTTACAACCTCTGCTGCTACCTCTATTGATCAGGCTATTTTGCAGGTAGGTTTGATGGTCTATTTTTCACTTTGAAACTTTCTATAACTTGATCTTTTTCCCCTTTTGTAGTCAAAACTCTTGCTCTATCTCATTCTCTGTAGCACAACTCTTGTTGTTGCACACTGTTAGCTGCTTCTTGCAGGCTACTTTGCTTTAAAGGTATGTTGTGTTATATCTCTTTGAGTTTTGAGCCATGTCTAACCTATCTTTGCATAGCTTGTAGCTTATTACTTAGCTTAGACTAACTGTTAGATAGTAGTTACTTGCTTGCTGTTCTCTCTCTTTGACATTCTGTGGGACTTGGCTGCCGGTCACCGGGGCTAAAGCTTCGCACCAGTGCAATATCGCGGTAACCCCGTTGAGCGCAGGGCATTTTCCTGAAAAGAATTGTTCATTGGTTGGAGCAGTATTGTTTTTCAGGTGTCAGTGAGCGACTCTTCTGAGAGGGTTGTGTATTGACCTCTGGAAGAGACTGACTTGGACCATCACCTTGGACTTGCCCCCACTTGGTTTTTTTTCTTGGGTTTTTAGACTCTCTTGGATCCCTGGCCCTTCCTTGGTTCCTTTGACTTCAAGATCCCTCTCTCTTCTCTTTTCCTTTCACCAACACCATCCAGCCATCCAACTTCATCTCTCTGCTTCATCAGTTTCTCTCCAGCATGCCTCCAAAATCAACAAAAACATCTTTTCCCTGTACCTCTTGCAACTCAGCTACTTTTTCTACCAAAGCTCAGTTGAATACTCACAGAAGTAACTGTGTTCAAACTGGAATTCTCAACTTACCTGATAGTGTCATTGTCATCTCCAAAGGCAAAGATAACAAGTTTTTCTGCCAGTGTGATAGTGGCAAATGTGATCCCAATGGCTATCTCAATATATACAATCTGCGCAGACACTTGACAAAATATAAAGGAATCTGGAAAGTTGAAGTGAGTCACTGTTTTTCTTTCAAATATCTTTCAAAGAGCTCACAACTTTTTATCAGACTTCTGGCTCTGGTGTTGGTTCCCCTTCTGCCCTTCAGGACTCTGGTTCTAATACCAACTCAAGTCTTCAAGAGGTAAGCTTGTACTTTGCACTTTTAATCCATATTGTCAACTTACAATCTTTTATCTTAGACTTCCAATCCTATTTCTCTCAGGCCCCAGGTTTCAAGTTCCAGAGTGTCCTCTCCTCCACTTTCCTTTCCACCATCTCCAACTCTTCCAACTCCTCCATCTCCTCCTGCTGCCTCCATATTCAGAGCTCAGTCCTTGGACTATGAAGATCCACCTCTGCCTCAGCCTGAACCTGCTTTGCCAACTGTAAGTTTGATCTGTTGAACTTCAACTCTTAACTTTGTCACTGACTATGCACTTTCAGGAATTATATCAGGATGCATACTTAGCCAGCTTGCACTTGGCTGTTAACATCAGACTTCCAGCTCTTTGCTGTGAAGTCTGCCAAGTTGCCCTCATTCCTGATCAGGCTGCCAGACACTGCTCTGAGTCAAATATCACTGCTCATCCCAGACTCAATGTGGATATGGCCAAGTTGCAGGCCAGTTTGGCTTCATTCAACTTCTCCATGTATTCTCTGCCTGCCATATCCACCATCTCTGTGCCTGCTTTCCAAGGTCTGGCTATTCATGAGGTCCTTCAATGCTCCCACTGTTCCTTGATGCTTAGTGACAAAAAGCATCTCAATGTTCACTGCAAACAACAGCACTCTCACTCTGCATCTGGACAGTTTGCCAAGGTTCATGCTCAGCAGCTAAACAAGGGAACTCACAAGACTTACTTCTCTGTCCAACCTCCAACCTTTGGTCCACCTTCCACTGACACTCTCAACCTCATTCACTCCATCAGAGAGCAAGTGACTGCCAGGCATCAGGCTCTTACTGTTCAACAAACTGAGTCCAGAGATGTGACACCTTTTCTGCAAAGGTTGAAGTGGCATATCTATGTGACTGGTAAAGACCTGACTGCTCTGAAACTTATGGTGGCACCAATTGGCAGAAATGAGGCTGTGGGTCTCAAAGAGATTATGGATCACTATGTGCAGTCTTCCTTAGACTGTGTAGAGGCTATGTCAGAACTGGCTAGGCAAAAACTCAATTCTCCTTATCCTGATACAGAGTAAGCTGTCTTGTCCCTTGCTGTCTTAGCTTATATGCTGATCAGTGTCTTATTTATACAGAAAAATGTATTAGAATCAGGGTTAGGAAGCCGTCAGGGATTAGGGCGAAGTGGACGAGCGTCTGTGGAGGGAAAGCCTAACCTGGTTGATATAGAGGATAAAGGAGTTGAGTAGTTACAAAGTACGCATGCGGATTTTGTTGAAGTGGGGAGATGATGATGAGATATATGGTAAGATGAAGCAGAGATACGAAATTGGACAAGTATGCAGGATGGGAGAAGAGGTTGATGTGAAGTACGCATGCGGATTTTGTTGAGTGTATGGGTCAAAGTACAGATAAGATATGAGTATGGACTCTGGTAAGAGCAATGTCGATGGAGTGATTGAATTGATGGAAGCCATGCATTAAATTGAGAATGTAAATTGGTGAAAATTGAAATGGTGCATGTACGAGGTGTTGACACAATCCGTGTGCGGATTATGTTGATGCGGATACAAGTAATATTATTATAGACGCAATCCGTGCGCGGAATTCATCTCTCCATACCAAATCCGTATGCGGAATTCATCTCTCCATACCAAATCCGCATGCGGAATTCATCTCTCAAGGCCAAATCTGCACACGGATTTTATTGAATTGATAAGTGATGATGGAACGAACATTGGAGGTTGTCAGATGTGGTAGTTGATTGGTGGCAGTCTTGACATAATTGTGAATATCTGTGTCTCACCAGCAGTAGATAGCGTGGGTCACCGAGAGATGGTTAAAGAGTGTTATATTTGCTCATATATACTGTATTATGTATAGGACAGAATGGATAGAGATATATATATATTCTTTGGTATTGCATTATACCCGTAGAGGCCGAATGTGGTTAGGGTTACATTGATGGCGATGTGGGCGAAGGATGGAGATGGTGAAGTTGGACGTGGTGAGGAACTGTTGAACTGACCTTCACTGATCTTGACCGATAGGAGATGTCAGGCAAACGAAACACAGGCAAAGCGAAGAGCAGGAGGCGGAGTAGTAAAGGGAAGATGAAAGCGAGGAGAGGCCGAAAAGAGGTATGTCGGATAGAGATTTCAGTGGATAGAATGAGTACTGATAGGAACGGTGAGGACAGATGGAAGAGATTAGAGAAGAGATAGTGGAGAGTGTGAGCAGAGAGATGATGGAGTCAGGAGAGGTAAGTAGATGAGGATTTGTGTGATTGATTGGAGAGCTGGGGCTGATTGATGAGAATGGATGCAGGCAGAGATAGACGGCGGACAGATAGCAGGGACGCCAGAAGTAGTTGATGCTCGAAAGATGGTGGAGAAGATAAGGAAGAGACGGCAGAGAGGAGTGAAGAGTACAGGAGAGGTGCGTAAAGAAAGCAGTGGGTGAGAGGAGACTGATTGTGATAATACTGCAGGGGGTTGAGTACGGGAGAGTGAGTGAGGAGATGATGAAAGCGGTAGTGATGCACAGTGCGGCAGTGGAGGGATTCCTGGGATACGGATTGGCAGTTGTTGTGGGATCGGGGGATCGGATGGTGTCTCGGCGGGGAGTTTCATCAGAGGTCCAGAAGAAGAGGGTATATTTTGAGGTTGAGGAGATTGGTGAGGGGCGAGTTGATTCGGAGCGGGTTGAGGAGTTGGCGAGAAGCTTGCGAGAAGGAATGGGGGCGGAGTACGTGAAGAACCGAATTGCGATTGGGGTGTATGCGGAGGAGTTGAAGGAGGGATGTCTGAGGAATGAAGTTGTGGATGTTGGAAAGCTGAAGTATGTGGAAGGGAAGGGTGGGGAGGGGAGGATTGGGGGAAAGATGTGGGTAGTGAATGGAAAAGAATACGGAATGGCTTGGGCGAAGTGGGACGATGAACTGTGTGGTGAAGCGGAACGGCTGGAAGAGGTGATGGGTGAGTATGGAGAGGGAAAGCGAGAGTATGACGAGGAGTACGATAGGGCAGAGAAGAGAGTGAGGGAGATTGAGATGACGGTTGGGAAGTACGGGACATGGGTGGTGGAGGTGTTTGACGAAAGTGAGTATTCGGGAAGTTCTGTGGAGGGAGAGAGAGCTAACAAAAATGGGATTTGATTCTGCAGGGAAGGTTGAAGGGCGGGTGGGGCTTGGAGAGTATTTGGGACGGAAAGATCGGAGGGAGAGGGTGGAGGAAATGAGTGGGGAGCGAATGACGCGTGCATTCAGGAAGGTGATTGAGAAGTCGAAGGAGTTGAAAGATTTGGGAGTTGAGGCAGGAAGCTCGAAATGGAATGAGGGCATAAAGAAGGTGGCATGGGTGAAGGAGAAGAAGTGGAGGGAGGTGTTGAAGGATGAGGAATGGATAGAGGTGATGTCGCGATTGTTGGAGTTTGAGTATTTCTGGAGTGGAGGAATATGGATGGGAGGGATGGAGGAGTACGATGTGAAGACGATGTGGGGTGGGGTAAGTGATTGCGATAGGAAAAAGAAAAGAGAGAGTGCTGACCAGGCATGACATTGTTGCAGGTGATACTGCATATGGTGAGAACGGCAGTGAAGGAGCTGGAGGACCTGTGTCGAGTGGGATTTATGGGTAGAGAGGAAAGGGTTCGGGATGTGTTGAGGGAATGGGAGGAGATCTCAAGGCGAAAGAAAGGGCTGTTGGAAGGAGAAGAGTTGGATCTGGAGACCCGTATGCGGGTGATTGATATTGGGGAGGTGGGAGAAGAGATCCGGAGGGATTGGGGCACGACGAAGATTGATGCGTCAAGATACGATGGGTTGGCTCTGGAAGAGATTGACAAGACGTGGTGGGAGATCTTCGAGTTGAGGAAGGAGGGAGGGCTTGCGAGGTATGAGAGCTGGATGGAGGCTCGGAAAGAGTATTGGGATGAGGTTCGGGGGATTATGAGGAAGAGGTGGGTAGAAGGAGGGGGGGTTGATGAGGCGGAGTGTTCGAGCAGGCTTGCACGGCTTCAGTGGCATGAAGGGCAAGTGTATCCGGCGACGGAGCTGCTGACGACGGGGTACATGATGCGATCTGTGGAAGAGTTCTCAGAAGCGAGTGAAGCGATTCAATTGGTGAGTGCTATGATGCATTGAAAGGGTTCGAAGTGAAATCCGCATGCAGATTTTGAAGTGTATGGATGAGGCAAAATCCGCATGCGGACTTTGTCGACGACTGCGCGATGAGCCACATGTGAGAGGAGATGAACGAAATCCGCATGCGGAGTTTGTCAGCACTTGGGATCATGAGACAGGATGTAGGGAAGTGAGAGACGAACTCCGCGCACGGATTTGGTTGCGAGATGACATATGTGATTGTGCTTGGTGGAGTTGATCGCTAATGAGGGGATGATTGGTTACAGGTTGGGCTGATGATTGAACCGATGCTGCCTTACATTCAAGGGCAGCAGAAGCATGGATATGATACAGCTTGGCACTCACTGAGAACGGTGCTTGGAAACTCGAAGAATTGGGTATCAGATACATGGGAGAAAGTGAGTATGAGCGGAAGTCTGAAGCTGCATTTGAATGTGATTCTGATGCATGGACATACAGGTGATGGCATTCATGCTGACAAATAGCAGATTTCTTGAGGGCGTGCAGGAGTTACTGAGGTGGAACGTTCCTCGGGCATTGGCGAGGCTGATTCATGTCACACGAGCTGAGGCGAAGGCATTTCTGGCACGGGACGACGAGTCGCTGATGAAGGATGGCCTATTTGGCATGTTTCTGGACCCTGAGGGGAATATACGCACGATGGCCGGGATGAGGGAGCAGGTGAAGAGGGTGCAGGGGTATTTAGATTCGGAGATGAGAAGAGGGGGAGCGCCATTCATGAACATGACGGCGGAGGATCAGCACTGGATTCCCGAGGTTATATTGGCTAAAGGAACGAATGAGCCATTCTGGGTCAGCGCGGGGGGGACGACATACCAGAAGAACAACAAGGCGGCAGCGCCAGTAATGGTGGTGACATTTGCGATGATGGCGGCAGTATTGGGAGAGATTGGTGGAGAAGAGACATTTATGGAGATGTTGGAGATGCTTCATGATGTTCTGAGGCAATGTTGGAAGGACGGCAGAGAGGAATATGTATTCTGGTTCGAGGGAGAACTTCCGAAGATATTGAAGGAGTATTCGAAAGGGGTGGAAGGGAGGAAAATCGTGATGGGGTTGTTGGATGAGGCATACAGGGGAACAAATAAGAGGTGGAATGCGGAGACGCTTGAGTTGAAGATGGAAGAGTATAGTCAGTGTATGGGAGGATTGGCGAAGATGAGGGAAGCGTTTGTGGAGAGTGGTGCAGGGGACTTCAGGTGGAAGGGTGGGTCGATTGAGTATGAGGTGGAGTTTCACTGGAATGAGCTGTGTCGGGTGAGGGTGCATGCTGGATTGATGGTGATTGAAAAGTGCTAACTTGGATAATGTGATGAACAGGGGGCCATTGGGAACTTGGGACGGCGATGGTTTAGGGAGGTGCAGGAAGGCAATGTTGCGCATCTGCGGGTGCGACCGTACAAGGTGCCTGTGCCATTGTCAAGAAAAGTTGAAGAGGACCGGATGTCGACGTCGAATGTGAATATGTATGAGATGGTTGTGAGGGCAGTGCGAGGTACGTGTATTTGGTATTGAATTGATAGAGAGTATTAAAGTGATTTGTATAATACAGGGCATGAGGAGGTGCCAGTTGGAGTTGGAAAGGACTGTACGGATCCATGGCTGGACCCGTCGTACCGTGAAGAGTACATGGTGGGGGCAAGAGGAGAGCTATGGTTGGAACAATGTAAAGTGGATAAGGAGAAGAGTGTGCAGGGGAGAGAAGAAGGAGGTAGAAGTGGAAGAGAATTGATTGTGGAGGAAGGGGAGAGAGAGGAGAATGTAGAGGATGAGGAGAGGAAGAGATTGGGGAAGGGCATGGAGAGGGGGGATTCAGATGAGGTGTCGAATACAGGCAGCGAAGGGTTGCAGGAGAGTGAGAGTGTTGCGGAGGTGATGGGAGGGTCAGATGGAGGGGCAGAGGAGGAGAACATT